TCGAATCAGATAAGGTGGCTTTGTCCATGCCTTATGTTCAACATATGATATCGCGATACAAAAGGATCATCAACCGGAATCATCACTGGCGTTCGTAAGATCACAAACAAACTCTAGTCGAGATAGGTAGTCATAGTGTCTTGCTAGAGACCATCTATGACTTGTATATTTGGAATAAAGTTTTCGGGTTATACTGCTATATCGAATGAGCCTACAGGGTCACATACGCAGGGAAGGACAAATGCACGAGAAAACGTTAAGAAATCTGGATAAGAGGTTCGGACCGTTCGGTCCAGGAGTGGACCGAACGGACCAGAGCACCTAGTCCGGACGGACCAAATTGTTGGACCGAACGGACTAAAGGATCCAGTCCGAACGGACCAAATGTTGGACCGAACGGACTGACCAGTCCAAACGAACGGACTGTGTTTTGTGACTGGACCGAACGGACCAAGTGTCCAGACCGAACGAACTACTTACCAGTCCGTTCGGTCTAGGTTTCAGATTTAATTTTAAAATCCGGAATTAGGGTTAATCACTTTATAAAAAGGAGATTAATAACCCTAATAAGTGGTGGCCAACTAAGAGAACTTCGAGAGACCTTTTTGGAGAGTCTAGAGGGTCTAAGAAGTTATCTAAGTCTCTTTTTCTCAAAGCACATCATCGAATAGAAGATTTGAGTCCTAGCAGACAAGTTCCAAAGGTTGGAATTCATCCTGAGGTGTGGATACGTGTAGAGGGTGAGGTATTCTTCCTCCCGTTCGTGATCGGACGAATTTTTCAATTGACACAGGTCCCGGATCGATTGAGGTAAGCGTTCTAACGTTTCTACGATTCATAGAAGCATAGTTCTAGGGTTTATTAAATTTTTGTTTTACATCCGCTGTGCAAACCCTAGAATCGATCTCTTAGGAATAGGATTCGCTCAAGAGATCCCAGGAAACCCAACACGAATCTCACTATTCACCTTTTGATTCTGAATTTTACAAACTTACAAACCAAAGAAATTATGTTACAAAAATAATAAAAATATTTATTATTAATATAACATAATAAAACTTAACTCAATCAGAAATATATTTTTAAATATACTAAATTTATTATCCAAAAAAATATGAACAATGCAAAATCTAAAAGAAATTTATCAAAAGTTAAAGGTAATCAAAATTTCTTCCAAATTCACATTTATATATGAAATACAAAAATTTTCAAAAATCTAGATTCAAACCTTAAAATCCAGATTTTGAAAATTATAATATATATACATATATATATATAAAAGATAAAATCTCAAATATACAACACAATAGCGAGACTCTAATATCACTTGGAATTTTATATCCTGAACTTTATAATACCGCAAATCCAAAACTATGTGATTGTACAGAATAAAGCTCCAGAAAATTAAACCTTTAAATCTTCTGATTCTGCATATACCTTTAAATCTTTAATCCTTTGATGGGATTAATATCAAGAAAAATGTAGAGATTTTTTGAAGGGTTTTCTTTCGTAAGATGCAATTAGGGAGAGATAATGTACAAAACATATATATCGCCATAAAGAGAAGAACCTAATGCATTAATATTCATTCACTAAAACGTAAAGTCATTTTCTTCTGCATTAATCAATTAATTAAATCGATAATTAATTGATCAAACTCAAATCCATGCACATTTCTCTCCCACAACTTTATCACAATTAAACAAAACCAATAAATCTCTACACAGGTTGGTACACGTGAACTAGAAACCATAACCAGATTTTTTATTTGGTATTGTTTAATTTATTACATCATAAAATGAAATAATATCTGAACAATACCGAAGTTCAATGGATTAAAACCGAAACTCGATCATGTGATGGCCCAAGATATCGTAGGAGGGCGGGGAGTGATCGCCGGTGCAAGAGACATGGACAATGGGCGGCTCCTGATGAGTTTATGGGTAGGGGTACATGGATGAATCAGACGCACCGGATTGAGAGGGATCCAAAGACTGTGTAGATATGAGACTTCACAGTCTAAGATAACTTAAAGAAATTAATTGAGCTACTCATAGCAACAAGATGCATCTACCTTTTTGGTTGTCCATCTCAAGAGACTCCAAAGTTAAGCGTGTTTGCAATTGGACTAGTTGTTGGGATTTCTGTGATCTCTAGAGCGGATCTAATTCTTAAGAGATCGGTTCTAGGGTTTGCGCAGCGGATGTGTAATAACTCGAATCCGGTTTTGAATACTTAATTAATTTCGGAGAAGAAGAATTATATAAAGTGGTACTAAACTTTAAGAAATGGACCACAAAATGTTGGGAAGAGGCCCGAAAATCATCCCGAGCGAACGAAATGAGAAAATACGAGAAAACGGCAAGAGGAAGGAGAAAAATGTGTCAAGACCGATCGATCTAGCACTGAGACCGACCGGTCTGGACCAAAGATGGACCGACCGAAAAAAAACTCTGACCGACCGGTCCAGGCTCTGGACCGATCGGTCCAGGCGCGGAAATATCAGGCGAGCTTACCTTTTTGGCCTCGTTCTAAAGGCGGAAGAAAGACCCCGCCTGCCGAAAGATGTCGACCTACCCCTCCACCACGCTGCAATCATTCATCCTAGGTAGCCCTACTCGATCCTAGACCTCTGGATCTCTCTAAAATCGGATCCAAACCTGCTCCAAGGGCCATCTGGAGTCAGAGAATTTCAGAAAGAAAAACCAAGGGAAGAAGAAGAAAGAGAAGGAGGTGAAGAGAGAGGAAGAGGGAGATAAGAGGAAAGGTGCTCATGGGAGCAAAGAGGGCCGGTCTCAGAAGGTCTAGGAGGGTCTCCGTGATCTGAGTCGCCGGAAAATACCATCGAATCCGGCCAAAACTCAGATCCGAATATGAGCAAGGTGAGTGGCTCGAGTTGCCTCTGTGTGAGCTCATTTTCATCGTTGTTATGGTGTTAATTCGATAAAACTAGGTAGATTAGAAAGTGGAAGTTGCAATGAACACATAGAAACAAACGACACTCGATTTGGTGCAGAAACGAGCAAGATATGAAAGGTTGAAAATCGGAGAAAAACTGTAAACTTGCAGAGAAAAACGCAGAAGCATGCTGAGTTCGAAACTTTCGGGCCATTACCTAGAAAATAGGTGTGATAATTGAATGAATTGTTAGTTGGAATCAAAAGAGGACATTTGAAGGAGCATGTAAAAACAAACGACACTCAATTTGGATAATAAACGAGCATCGGGGACACTCGTTATGAGCCAACGAAGTTGGACCAGAATCGGGGACGAAAATTGCGAAATCGTGATCTGTCACCAGGCTCTGGACCAACCGGTCCAGACCCTGAAAATGCCGGAACAGTCCGAAATGGCCTGGACCGACCAGTCCGGATCCCGGGAAGGCCTGGACCGACCGGTCCAGACCCAAAAAACATTGAAAATGCCCGAAATGGCCTAGACCAACCGGTCCGAACCCCGGGAGCAGCTGGACCGACCGGTCCTGACTAAATATTGATGAAACTGAGCCAAAAAGGCCTCGGGATGAGATAGAAACCTTGGGATCGACCAAACTTTATGATGAACGAGCCGGTACATGACAAAAAATGTAAAAGGGAAGAATTGGAATAAATTAATAACTTGAATGCATGGTGAGATGTGCGACACATACCGAGAGAATCGTTGTATGTTGTTTGAGTTTATTTCTCCGATGGGTCACGAGAAGTGACGTGCGCGTGAAGCACATCGATGGTTGCGCGAAGCAACGGCCAACGTCACGAGATATGACGGGCGTGAGAGGCGCTCCTAGTCATGCGATGTGACTAGGGTTTACGACTAACCCTATGGTGCGATGCCATACGGAATTTGATTGTTGCGCGAAGTAACGGCCAACTTCATGAGATGTGATGGGCGTGAGAGGTGCTCCTAGTAATGCGATGTAACTAGGGTTTACGGCTTATTCTATGGTGCGAAGCCATACACACTTGATTGTCGTGAGATGCGACGGCCAACGTCGCGAGATGTGACGGGCGTGAGAGGCGCTCCTGGTCATGAGAAGTGACCAGGGTTTATGGCTGGCCCGATGGTGTGAAGCCATACGGGAATTGATACGATGATGTTTTAATATATATATATATATATATATATATATGATGAATATTGAATGTTGTACCTTGTGTTTTATCGTTTTAATATCGTTCTCGCTGGGAACGGGTTTATTGGATCCAACCCAGGTTATTCACTACACAGTTGTGCTTAGTCCTCGTAGTTTCACCTTTTTCAGATCACGAGTAGCACGAGTAGCACGTTTGAAGCGACGAAGACTCCGAAGAGACAGCATCGTGTACGGGGTTTGCTTTCATTGAATAATTTGAGTGATGGAAAACGATTCCCATGTTTGTACGATTGTACCTTTTCAATTCAGACATGTGTGTTTTAAGACTTAACTGCTTTTCATTTCCGCTGCGCGTTTAATATTAAAAAGTTTTAAAATTCCCGTATTTTTGGTTTGCATTATTTTATTTGTTTTTCGTCCATATGGCACATCCTGTGACGGGAATCGGGATACGGGTGTCACAACTGTTGGTATCAGAGCAACGTTCCTTCCACGGGAAAGAACACCTCACTACCTTGAGCTTTTTACAATGAAAATATTTTCGAAAACCATGTCCCAAGAAAAATTGTTTGCAAAGAACCGTACATACGATGTGTTGTCTGAGGTCACCGCTAATACTACCTTAACCGTGGTGCAGTGAAATGGCACCACGACGTGCTCAATCTACGACGGGAGACAACAACGTCCCCAACTATGTTTCCCAAGCTGCGGAATTTAGGGAATTCCAGGAGGAGATACGAAGTGAATTCCGTGCATTCCAGGAGACCATGATACAAACCTTGATGGCACATCTCCCACCTCCACCCCCAGAGCGAGGTCCGGAACCTAGGGGGAGGACCTGCCTCCGCCGCCACCTGCACCGACAACGGTAGGAGACTACCTGCCTATTGTTCGAGAGTTACGAGCCATGCACATTCCCAAGTATGGAGGATCGCTGGATCACGAGGCTGCAGAAGAATGGATGACGTGCATCACACGAGATCTGGAGTATGTTCAGTGTCCCCTACGTTATCGAGCGCTACTAGTGAGCCATCACTTATCCGGGCAAGCTCGACATTGGTGGGAGAAGGTGGTACAGGAGATGCCGGAAGGACATCGTTTCACCTGGGAGGAATTCAAGGAGGAATTTGAGAGGAAGTACTACCGTCGACAGAATCAAGAACGTCACCTCTCTGATTTCCTAAACCTGCAGCAAGGGAACATGACTGTGAGGGAGTACGAAGCTAAATTCGTACGCAAGCTTAAGCATTCGGCGCATCTGGTGCCCCTAGAGAGCCAGAAGATCACTAAGTTCATTATGGGACTACGACCCTCACTCCGCTAGAGAGTCACACTTCATGAGTTCTGAACTCTGTACCATTGCGTTGACCAGATGGAGAAAGCTGAGGAAGCGGAAAAGGAGGACAGAGCCAGCAGGGCCCGTGACCGAAGCCATCCTAGACGCCATCCCCACCGTCCGTCGGGGAGAACTAGTCAGACTGGCCAGAGTAGCCGAGTGCAAGACAAGGGTAAGGCGCCAGTCACCCAGGCATTACCTCCGCCACCTCGGAGAGGGCTACCTGTTTGCTATCGGTGCCAGCAGCCAGAACACTTTGCGGCATATTGCACGGTGAGACCCGCAGAGCTGCAAGCGCGAGTGGCTATACCACCGAGACCTCTGGCTGAAACTGGAGTGGCCCCGAGGGTTTATGCCCTAGAAGCGGAGTAGGAGAATCAAGAAGAGGATGTTCATGTCGACGGAGTAGAGGCAGATGCGATTGCAGGTACTCTTCTACCTCTACGAGCATAGTATTATTATTATATCGAGGTAACCATTGTCTGCTAAAGTACAAAGTAACAAGAAACATCGCAGGTACCCTTCACTTATACGAGGTGTCCTGTTATACATTGTTTGACACTGGGGCAACTCACAGTTTTGTGAGCGCAACTATAGTGGAGAGAACCGATGTAGGAAAGGTCAATCTGATGAGCAACTTAACAGTGCGTATACCGGCTAGAGAAACCCTTACGGTTCGAGGGACTTTGCGTAGCGTACCCCTTGACATATGCGGCCGACTAATGCCAGCAGACCTTATTGTGGTACCCATAGGAGTCTATGATCTCATACTGGGTATGGACTGGTTAACGAAATACCAGGCTTATATCGACTGCCCCCGGAGGACGATCTGGTTTCAAGAAGATTCTGGAGGTTTTGAATTTAAGGGAAGGGGAGCACCATCGACGGACCCGATTATCTCGGCGTTGAAAGCCGAAAAGATGATCAGGAAGGGAAACGATGCGTTCTTAGTAGTTATCACGACTACTAAGGAACTGGAGAAGAAATTAGAGGACACACCTGTTGCTCGGGAATTTCCAGATGTATTTCCGGATGAATTACGGGAATACCGCCAAAGAGGGAGGTGGATTTCAGCATTGATGTATTACCGGGCACAGAACCGATCACTAAGACTTCGTACCGGATGACACCGACAGAAATGGCGGAACTAAAGAAGCAACTAAACGAATTGGTGGAGAATGGGTTTATACGTCCGAGCATTTCACCGTGGGGAGCACCGGTACTCTTTCTGAAAAAAGAAAGATGGGAGTATGCATCTGTGTATTGATTACCGCGGACTCAACCAAGTGACAATCAAGAATCGGTACCCACTGCCGAGGATTGATGAGCTACTTGATCAAATGTAGGGGGCCAAGTGGTTCTCGAAGATTGACTTACGATCGGGATATCATCAGATCCGAGTCAAGAAGGAGGACATACAGAAAACGACGTTTCGGACCCGATATGGACATTTCGAGTTCGTAGTCATGCCCTTTGGACTCACGAACGCACCAGCACTCTTCATGCAGTTGATGAACCATGTGTTCATGGAATATTTAGACGAGTTCGTCATCATCTTCATTGATGACCTTTCTCATCTATTCGCCAGATCAAGAGACACACGAGGAGCATTTGAGGAAGATTTTGTATAAACTGAGAGAGCATCGCCTATATGCAAAGTTCAGTAAATGCAGTTTCTGGTTGCAGGAGATTGGCTTCTTGGGTCACGTCGTATCAGCCCAAGGAATCCAGGTGGACCCGGCAAAAATCGAGGCAGTTATGGATTGGAAACCCCCGACTTCTGCTACAGAAGTCAAGAGCTTTCTCAGACTTGCAGGTAATTACAGAAGGTTTGTGGAGGGTTTTTCCAAGATAGCCCGGCCTATGACGAAACTGACAGGAAAGAATGTTAAGTTTGAGTGGACTGCTGAATGTGATGCTAGTTTCCGGGAATTGAAAGAGCGTTTGACTTCAGCACCTATCCTAGCATTACCACGACCGGGCGTACTGTACGAAGTTTACACCGATTCATCCAGGCAGGGACTCGGTTGTGTGTTGATGTAGGAGGGACACGTGATCGCCTATGCATCGAGACAATTGAAAAGACATGAGGAAAACTATCCAACACACGATATGGAACTAGCAGCGGTGGTTCATGCACTAAAGATTTGGAGGTCGTATCTGTATGGTGAGAAGGTCAAGCTCAACACGGATCACAAGAGCTTGACCTACGTGATATCCTAGAAGGATCTAAACCTAAGACAACGACGATGGTTAGAGTTGATTGCAGACTATGACCTGGAGATAGCCTACCATCCTGGTAAGGCTAACATGGTAGCAGATGCACTCAGTCGGAAGCGGATCTTGGCTGCTATTCGCAGTGACTTCATCTCGTAGCAACGTTGCAGAGTTGACTGCGATGTTGGGGCATTTGACGTTGGAGCGGGAGGAACCCACTCTGATGCTGGTTGAACGAGTAATCATGGGACAACCCAGTGACCCCTTACTATCACGATACCGAGATCGAATTGAGGAATATAGTCCTAAGGGCTACCGCATCGACGAGAAAGGAGCACTGCGCTTGGGAAACCGGCTATGTGTGCCAGAGGACACTGCGTTGAGACAGGAGATATTAGCTGAGGCACATCAAACGAGGCTAGCGATACATCCAGGGGCAAGTAAGATGTATCAGGGTCTACGACGATGGTACACGTGGCCAAGGATTAAGAGAGACGTTGCCGATTATGTAGCCAGATGTCTCACTTGCCAACCGGTGAAAGCAGAGCGACAGATGTCGGGAGGAAAATTGCAGCTGTTGGAAATACCGCAATGGAAGTGGGATTCGATCGCCATGGATTTTGTGGTTGGATTACCACTTACACCGAGGAAGAAGAACGCTATTTGGGTAGTCGTGGATCGACTAACCAAATCTGCTCACTTCCTCCCTATACGCCAGGAGTATCCGATCGAGCGGTTGGCACAGATCTACATTGACGAGATTGTGAGACTACATGGTGTGCCAAGTGAGATCATCTCGGACCGAGATGCTCGATTTACGTCATGCCTATGGAAGGCAATCCAAGATGCGTTGGGGACAAAGCTGAAGATGAGTACGGCATATCATCCTCAGACAGATGACAATCGGAACGGACGATATAGACTTTGGAGAATATGCTTCGTGCATGTGTATTAGAATGGGGAGCCCCGTGGGATCAGTATATGACGTTGTGCGAGTTTGCGTACAACAACAGTCACCATGCGAGTATCGAAGTACCATCGTATGAGGCATTATATGGGAGACCGTGTAAGACACCTTTGTGTTGGACAGAGATTGGGGAGAGACGGAAATTCGGGCCTCAGATTGTGGAAGAGACTGGGGAAGTGATTCGAAAAATTCTAGTCAACCTGAAAAACAGCACAGGATCGACAAAAATCATATGCCGACCAGAGGAGACGGGACTTCACCCTTGAAGTTGGAGATCAAGCATTCCTCCGAGTTCAGGCCATGCGAGGGCACGCTAGGTTTGCACAGGGCGGCAAGCTGAAACCGCGATATATCGGACCCTATCCGGTGATTGGGAAGGTAGGCGCAGTAGCATATCGACTCGGGTTACCTTCAGAGCTGGGCAACATCCACGATGTATTCCATGTATCGATGCTACGGAGATACGTAGCAGATGTTGGGATTCCTGAGATCTCTAGAGCGAATTCTATTCCTAAGAAATCGATTCTAGGGTTTGCGCAGTGGATGTAAAACAAAAATTTAATAAACCCCAGAACCGTGCTTCTATGAATCGTAGAAACGTTAAAACGCTTACCTCAATCGATCTGAGGCCTGTATCAATTGAAGAATTCATCTGATCACGAAAGGGAGGAAGAATACCTCGCCCTCTACACGTATCCACACCTCGGGATGGATTCCAACGGTTGGAACTTGTCTGCTAGGACCCAAATCTTTTATTCAGTTTTATGCTTCGAGAAAACAAGACTTCAATCACTTTTCGAACCTCTTGGATCTCACCAAAAGTCTGTAGAAAAGTTCTTAAGTCGGCTCTCAAAGTCTCTTAGTTCATTAGGGTTTTAATCCCCTTCTTATAAGGTGATTTAACCCTAATTCGGTTTAATTTTCGAAAAACCCGAAACCCGGAACGGACGGTCCAGAAATACACGTGGAACATCCGTTCTAGCAAGCCAGAACGGACGGTCTGCTCACGTGGACCGTCCGTTCCAGACAAGCCAGAACAGACGGTCTGCTATCAACGCGGACCGTCCGTTCCAACACTTAGAACAGACGTCTGCGACTAAACGTGGACCGTCAGGTCTGGACCTGGCAGACCGTCCATTCCGGACTTCTGGTCTGTCCGTTCCAGACCCTTCCGTCTTGGTTTTTCCGTCGTTTTCTCGTGCGTTTTGTCCTTCCCTGCATGTGTGACCCTGTAGGCACATTCGATATAGCAGTATAACCCGAAATCTCTATTCCGGATATACAAGTCATTGGCGGTCTCTAGTAAGACACTATGGCTACCTATCTCGAATAGAGTTTGTTCGTGATCTTACGAACACCAGTGATGATTCCGGTTGATGATCCTTTTGTATCACGATATCATATGTCGAACATAAGGCATGAACAAGCCACCTTATCTGATTCGACTGCTTTCTCGTTCACTGAGTTCGACTGTCTGAAATAGACGACGTTCCACTATAGTGCGGCCACACATTTCTACAGTCTCGCTCACACGAGGGGTCCAGTGATATCTCTCTCTTTTACGAGAGGTACAAATCCCATCTTGACTATCTACAATCCAGCACATGATTCGTTTCGTACCTTATACATGCCTTTATAGTCCTCCTGTTACGCAGGATGTGACACCCGTAACCCGTCTCCCGCTCACGAGTTGTGCCACATGGACTCAAACATATAATAAAATAGCGGGAATTTAAAAACATTTTATTTTATTACACACGCAGCGGAAAAACAAGTATATGTTTACAAACCCACATACAGTAGTATACACACCAACATAAGGACGACAACAATAATATAATACAGGGTCAAGTCACCGCCCGTACAAACCAACATAAGTCCAAAGAAAGAAAAGTACATGATCCAGATATCTCCTCACGCGTCACCAGCACCCTCGTCCTGCTGCTGCCAATACTGCTCTGTGCCTGAAACGTTGCATAACAACGTCCATAAGCTACGTGCTTAGTGAGTACTTCGGGTTAGACCCGAAGATCATACTCAAATTGCAAATGGCCAAACACAA